GTCTCGATACGTGTGTCTCCCTGGGCGTTGATCTTGCGGAAGCCTGGTCCCAGTGTGGGAAACCTCTTCTCGTGCTCGGCCGCGGCGGCTGCTGCTGCCTCTTCCCGTTGCCTCTTGAGATCCTTCAGGATGTCATTACGACTCCTCTTGACGCCAGCGACAGGACGTGGGCCAGTCATCTTCTCGCCCTTCTTCTCGGTCTTCTCGCGTGTAATGGGGCCGACATCCGCCTCTGCCAGCTCGTCGAACGCGTCTTCGACCTCTGGTACCTCTTCAGTCTCCTCCTCCTCTTTTTCTTCTTCTTCTTCTTTCTTGTCAAGGCCACCCAGAACATCCTCGCCCCGCCTCACTCTCTCGAGCAGCTTCCTGTCCAGGCCCTTCACTAAATGCGTGGTCCCGACATCACCACCCGTAATCTCTTGCACCAGCTTCTCGAACGTCTCGCGATCGATCTCGCCCTTCTTCATAGACTCCTCGAGGTTCTTGACGCGTTTGGCGATCTCGTTGTCTTCCTCGTCGGTGTAAGCTTTCGTGCGGTCGGTGTAGCCTGCGGCGAGCCTCGTTCCTTTGGGCACTACATTCCTAGCCTTCTTTTGTGGGTTGTTCTTCGCGTTGCGTTCGGCGAGTTGACGCGCAAAGTCCGATTGAATCGAGCCCTTGCCTACCTGGCGACTGCGTATCTGTTAGCATCAGTCCTGCGCGAGAAACTATAAGAAATACTTACGGTGTCATTGGTATGCTCGAGTGCTTGCGCGCGCCCAGCACCGCCCTGGGCGTTGCCGCTGCAGGTGACTTGCCCTTGCCGTCATCCTGAGATTTTGGTGTTTCGACTAGCAGCCGCCTGAATTGCGAGTTGTTCATGGTGCGCGAGTTGAGAGGTTGGTGGAGAGTCGTGATTCGCAAAAGATGTGCCAAGCCTCTGCTGGCGTCTTCGGGTCGCGCCTGCACCACGCGAGGCTACGCTAAAGAAGCGTGGCTGGTCCAACGCGGGGAACCTTGAGCGCTCAACACAACTCCAGCCTCGTCTACTACCGGATTGTATTGCGTCAGCAGGATCACGATGGTCAATGTATGGACTTCTTGAGGCACGGACAATGCCTTAATTTGCGTAGTCTTCGGTACCCTGCCGCTTCGGCTCTAGCTGGCTCCAGGGCTGTCTGTAAGGTTGCAGCGCGATCTTACTTATGCAGGATCACAAGACTACTGTAGGGAAATGCTACCTGTTTCCCTGTACGAGAGTTACGCTATGCCGCCACAGTAAAACGATCGTGCATAGCCCGAAAGGTTCTGTATCTTCCCCATTTCACTTGCTAGGCACCCTGCGATCCCCACCACCCCGCTTCCTCTCCGCATAAGTACCTGAACAGCCGGGTAAATTGTTGAACTCACCTCCTACGCCTCCCTTCCCCGGTATCTGTGAAATTGTAACGGCAACATGTTCAAGCTTCTGATTGCAGCGGGTCTTGCTGCGGTGGGCGCGTCCCAGTACGCCATGCCCAACGCGACCAATTCGACTACATTCATGAACCCGATCGTGGGCGCTGGAGCAGACCCGTAAGTCAATCCTCCAAATTATGTTACCATCCGTCTGAACATCATCCAGCTGGATGTTCCGCCACGAGGACTACTACTACATGACCTACACCAACAACGTCAACATCACCCTCTGGCGCAGCAAGTCCCTGACCTCCTGGGACGCCGCAGAGTCCAAGACCATCTTCGTCCCCGAGCCCGACCAAGCCTACTCCACCGACCTCTGGGCGCCCGAGATCCACCAAATCGACGGAAGCTGGTGGGTAATCTTCACCGCAGACCCCAACTTCGACTCCCCACCACCCGAGGTGGAGATGTGGTGCGAGTACAACTGCCCCGCCGTCAACCACCGCATGTTCACCGTCGTCGGCGAAGGCGAAGACCCCTGGACCGCCGAGTATCGCTACCACAGCGAACTCGAGACGTACGATCAATTCGCCATCGACGGAACCTACTTCCAACACGCCGACCAACTGTACCACATCTACTCGTGCTGGTACCACAAGTACGACGGCTGGCCAGCCAACCTCTGCATCACCAAGATGTCCGACCCTTCCACCACCGTCTCCCCCTTCTCCGAGCGCCAAATCATCTCCGTACCTGAGTACGCGTGGGAAAAGACCCCCTTCGGCCGCTCCATCAACGACCGCCTCTCCTCCAACGAAGGCCCCCAACAACTCACCAACCCCACCACCGGTCAAAACTTCCTCATCTACAGCGCCGCCCGCTCAGACAACCGCAACTACTGTCTCGGCCAGCTCGAGCTCGTTGGCGACGACCCCATGAACCCTAGCGACTGGCGCAAGCATCCTTACCCCGTCTTCTACCAGAACCCTAGCGAGAAGGCGTACGGTGTTGGTCACGCGTCGTTTACGACGTCGCCTGATGGAAGCGAGGATTGGATCGTTTACCATGGTATGCAGGATCCGACGAATGGGTGGAGTGCGAGGTCGATTCGCGCGCAGAAGTTTGGCTGGAATGAGGATGGGAGTCCGGATTTTCCTAAGCCGGGGTATGGGCCGTATCGGGTTCCTAGTGGGCAGTAGGGAGGTTACTGATGTGGTGTCTGGGTTTGCGGGATGATGGCGGGGCTGTGAAACTTCTCTTGCTCTGCGGCTGGTTTGCTTGTGTCTTTCGAACGGCGGCGACCGGCTGTGTTGGTAGGGTCGTGAAGAGAGCCGCTTCTGCCCTGTCTCTTGCATACAGACCTTGGATAATACCTAGGTATCTGGACCTCGATGGATATATATTGCCACCTCAATGACAACGATCATGATGAACTTGACCGACCATTGTTGAGACTTTATCTCTCGTGTGATACCCTGCGTCGTGTAGATGATGATGATGATGATGATAATACATATGGGTGTTCGTGCCGATTCTAGCGAGTCCTTTGTTTCTTATGTGACGTTATGGCATGCTGTACACATGCGCGGCTTGCGTACACGTTCGGTGCGGCTTCCACCAAGCATGCTCACCACCCGGAAGTATTGCGCAACCCACCACATCGCTCGGAAATATGCAAAAACCACTCATACTGTAATTTCTGGGGCTTTGGAACATGCTGTGATGTTCCGATACCATTTAACAACATCCGAATTTGGGTTGTTGTGTCTATGTTTCACACTGTGTAGAAAGTCTTGCTGCATGTTTTTGGTATTTAGGACTCAACACGTAACATCTTCAAAAAATTCCAACACAACCACATCTTGCTCAAATCAGCTCAAACTCTCCAAATCGACTGATACGACACACAAAAGCACATCACGCGATTTTGAGATTGTTCGAGCATTGTTGTGGAGGGTTACGCGTTGGAGGTATGCGGAAGCGTCTTTCCGGAGCAGTCAAACTACGCGTATATTCACAACCATACGACGCGGGTTAGATGCACAGCGCGATATAAATGCAAATATACAGTCATGCGCATATCAAAAATACAAAATGGCACATATCAGTCACATATAGCCCGACGCGTTGTACGGCCGTTGGTAGCAGATACACATGACGTCATAAGCTCAACAGCCAAACTTCACAGCCCTCTTCACGCATGTGGCAATAAGCTATGAGTCATGCTACGACCGGTCAGACGGCACAGTCAATGAGTCACCAAACGTCCTGTCCATTGTGAACGCGAACGAGATGAAAGTCGGTCTGGCAAACTGTACATGGCACTAGTTCACATACACACTAGCATGACAAAAGGCGGAACAGCACACCGTGCAAGTGGAGCAAAACAGCAATGACCACCGCGTTCACACAAGGTCCGCAGACGCGTCGCACATCACAGCAGAAGACAAGTAGATGAAGTTATTATGGTATCATTCCATGCAAATCAGAACCTGACTGATATAACCGTGAACTCCGAGCCTTCTTATACTATACAAGGCCATGACCATCCCACCAAGCACCGAAGAGGCGACCGTAGACTGCTGAAGAAGCCAGCCGGACAAAAGTCGTAACATTGAAAACCGTAAGAGCGAGAAGAAGACGACGCGCTTAACCACCGAAACCGTACAGAGTGCGGCCTTGACGCTTGAGAGCGTAGACAACGTCGAGGGAGGTGACGGTCTTGCGCTTGGCGTGCTCGGTGTATGTGACGGCGTCACGGATGACACCCTCGAGGAAGGTCTTGAGAACACCGCGGGTCTCCTCGTAGATCACTGGGGTGGGTTAGCGAGGTTGTGAGGGAGGTAGTGGAAGAGACATACTGGCTGAGATACGCTTGACACCGCCACGACGTGCGAGACGACGGATAGCGGGCTTGGTGATACCCTGGATGTTGTCGCGGAGAATCTTGCGGTGGCGCTTGGCACCACCCTTTCCGAGACCCTTGCCACCTTTGCCGCCTGGAAGACGCGTTAGTAAAGTGTTGATGGTGAAGGACGACGCGTTGAGCGCGCCGAACTGTGGAGGCGGTGGGAATACTCACGACCAGTCATGTTGATAGATGTGGGGGGTTGTTGTGTTGGGGAGAGGGTATTGTTGGTTGTAGAGTGAGAGAGTGGTAGTAGTGGATTGGATGCTTTGGTGATGATGGGAATTAGTTGGGGCGGCGGGCGTCGTGTTTATGAGGCAGCGGGGCGCGTCGTCTTGCGCGCCGGATCACACGCCAGCCACGCCAGATCAAAGCCGCGCACGGGCGCGCTTTCCAGATCAACGCCCGTGCCCCTTCCCAATCGGGGCGCGCAGCAAGCGAGCCAATGGGGAATGCGCGCCGCAGTGTGGACTTGGTGGTTTTGAAGTTGCAGCGCGCGCAGGTTAGCATGCTTAGCATGGCTTTGGTGTTCCTGGTGCGCGCTGTGAGGGAGCGCAACAAAGATTGATTTTCCAGGCAGCCGCCCGCCCCCCATTTACCATATAAGCTGCGCCCGCCCACCCTCCTCCATCTCTCATCCACTCAACTCCACTCACCATCACAACAACCATCTACCACATCCACATCTCCATCTCCATCCCACTACAACAACATGGCCCGCACTAAGCAGACCGCCCGCAAGTAAGCTTCAGCCTCATCGACTCTTCAATAACAATCATACTAACAATATCTCAGGTCCACTGGTGGCAAAGCCCCCCGCAAGCAGTTAGTCTAGCCTCAGCTCTACTTCGCACCTCATCGCAGCATACTAACTTCACTTCAAGGCTCGCATCCAAGGCAGCTCGCAAGTCCGCACCGGTTAGTACCATCCTCACCTCATCATGCGATGCATCCCTCTAACATTTTTTTTTCTTCAGTCAACCGGTGGTGTCAAGAAGCCTCACCGCTACAAGCCCGGAACCGTCGCCCTCCGTGAGATCCGTCGCTACCAGAAGTCGACTGAGCTCCTCATCCGCAAGCTGCCCTTCCAGCGTCTTGTCCGTGAGATCGCTCAGGACTTCAAGTCGGATCTCCGCTTCCAGTCCTCTGCCATCGGCGCTCTCCAGGAGTCCGTCGAGGCCTACCTCGTCTCGCTCTTCGAGGACACCAACCTCTGCGCCATCCACGCCAAGCGTGTCACCATCCAGAGCAAGGACATCCAGCTCGCCCGCCGCCTCCGTGGTGAGCGCGGTTAAGCTTCTCACCTTCGATATATCGACACGACTATGACAACTTCTTCGGGTCGGTGATGGATTGGGTCTTTGGGTCGGATATTTAGGCGTTTGGGTTCATGGTTCACGGTCTTCAACTCGGTTTATGAGTGCACACGAGCGGTGCTGAGCATGTAGTATATCCAGGTTAATCAGTGATGGTCACTGGCGATATTCCACGAAATCAACAGATTTCTACTTCATTCTATCTTCGTCTATGATTGTGATGTTTGCTTCGACTTTCAGTGTATCACCAACTCTTCGTCGCCCCGCTCCTTGGTGTTCATGCCACTGCGCTATCTCGACTGGTCGCGAATAGTCGCGATGCGGCACTCACCCCGCAACATGACGCCCATCGCAGCTACTAACTCGCCCATCATGACCAGCACCTCGGCGAACGGTACACTAACAATTGAGACTACTACGATGTCTTCCCGTGAATGCTGCGCAATCGCGCATCTTCATCCAACACATACCTCCTCACGATGACCTGGCAAACCGAATTCTGGTCATGGATGTCGCCACCCACAGTGCAGACTGCTGAAGTCCCAGCCGTCGGCCAAAAGGCGCCCTCCACGCCCAAACTTGCCATACCAGCACAAGATGGCAAACCGACAATCATCAGCTTCCTCCGGCACTGCGGATGTCCTTGTACGTACTTTGCTCAAAAGATCATGACGATGCAATCTCACCAACACCGCCACAGTCGCAGAAAAAACCTTCCTAAACATGCGCGCCCTCGCGCCCGCTCACCCAGACATACATTTCATAGCCGTTTCGCACAGCGACCAGGCGGCTACGGACCGCTGGCTTGCATCGTTGCCTGAACCGGAGAAGAACACGCAGCCCAACCTCAACATCATTGTTGATGCAGAACGCGAAGCATATGCCGCGTGGGGCCTAGGCACGTCCAGTCTGTGGCATGTGCTAGGTAGTATACCTGGTACGAGCAAGTTGAGCAAAGAGGGCATTAGCGTGAGGCCGACTGAGAGTGGGAGTCGGTGGCAGACGGCGGGCAATTTTGGGGTTGATGCAGAGGGGATTGTGAGATGGAGTAGGGTTGATGGGAGGGCGGATGATATGCCGGATTTTAAGGAGGGGGTGGATAAGGTGTTGGGGGGCAAGTTTGAGACGGGGGGTTTTGCTGAGGCTATGCAGGGTTGATGGGTGGTGTGGTTGTTATGATGTGGTTGTGTAGATTGTATGTGATGCTTGTAGTTGGTTTTATGGTTGTGCGGTTTTCGCGTTTTGCGTTGTAAAGACGCGGATTATGTGGCGCATGAGGTACGAGATAAATGTGAAGCACAACGCGTTCTTGCATCCTTCTCGCGACTGTGTGAAGAGTGCACGCTCCATGATTATGATAACACACCCGTCTTTTTCTCGTAACACATATTTCTAAATTTCTTGACTATGGTGATCAAAGACAACCCCTCGATTGGCCCGCCCGCCGATGACCTCACGATAACACGCGAAAACGCGCCAACAGTCGAAGCGCGTCAAAGTGTCGCCACGCACACAACAGACCCGCCGCGGCCAGATCATGGCATCATGGCTGCACCGTCCACACGGCTGACGACTCGCGCGAGCGAGTATGGCTCAGATATCGACATCCAGTCCATCGCGACGCTGAGCGACTACGGCTCGGACATTGACATTGACGACGACACCATACTTGCCGACGCCTTTGACACGATAACAGACGCTGCGCAAACCCAAAAGAGCGCAGTCCTCCCCAGCATAGAATTCGAAGAGGGCGAACTCGAAGACGAAGAGCAGGATGTGGACGGCTTCGTGCAGATTCATAGACCCACGGTCCTGCGCGTTGCAAAGGGCAAGGCCAGTGTCGACGCGGATGCACAGAGGGATATACAGAGCTCGCCCATGCGAGAGCGTAAGGCGCTGGAAGTCGAGTACGACGAACGATCGCGGCGGGCGTGGAGTGGTGCGTTGATCCAGACTCGCAGCAGTGGCATTGGCATGACTGACGACTAACAGCGCTTAGTCCCTCACGAACAATCAGCATCTCCCCCCAGACCCTCGCAATTCCTCTCTGATCGCAGCATATCAAAATCGACGCGCGCCGCCTCTACCACACAGGCCGTACAGACTGCCGAAACTGATAACCGGCCGCCCATCGAGCGTTTCCGGACGAAGCCCAAGAAGTGTCTTTCGGTGACCGATCTCGTCTCACCAGCATGGTGCGAACTGCAGTACTTTTACACGTTGAGCAAGTTTGGCCGCAAACCTCGAACGCAGGCGATGAAGACCGGTAGCAAGATACACCAGACGCTGGAAGACCAGGTTCACACAACAGTGCCAGTGCAGGTTGAAAGCAAAGAAGACCGGTTTGGCCTACGTATGTGGAATGCTATATCCGGCCTGCGATGTCTCCGCGAGACTGGCCTCACACGGGAACTGGAAGTTTGGGGCGTGCTCGAAGGCCAAGTCATCAACGGCGTCATCGACGAGATCTCCTACGAATGTCCCGACCCAGAATTCGAAGAGGAGCTCGAGCGAACCCGCGCCGAGAAAAATGGCGGCATCGTCCCCTTACCACCAGGCCAACTCAGCATCACAGACGCCTTCGCAAAAGCCAGCAAACCGCCCTCCTCCAGCCCACTAGTCTCCACACCACCTTCCGACCGCCAAATCTACATTGCAGACGTAAAAACACGATCCGCGAAATCTCTCCCAACAGGCGCGTCTCTCCGCCCTACCTGGATGCAACTAATGCTCTACCGCAAACTCCTCGAATCCCTCTCCCTCAACACCGTCGACGCCGAAACCGTCTTCGCGCGCTACTCCCTCGACCCCCTCACCCCCTTCACCCCGCTCTTCCTTTCCGAAATCAGCAACATCGGCCCCGAAACCTCTGTCTCTTCCTACCCCAACCTACTCGCCCTCTGGTCCCTGCTCGTCACCGAAATGCAAGCTACCTTCCCTCCTTCCAGCCTCTCCCCCATCCTGCGCGCGGAGTTTAGGTATGCGAAGACGGGGGATGTGTTGGGCAGCCGGCTTACGGTGTATGAAGCGAGTGTTGTTGATGGGTATGTGGAGAGCGAGATGGATTGGTGGAAGGGGAGGAGGGAGGCCAAGGGCGTGGAGATTGAAGAGGCGTTTAAGTGTCGGATTTGTGATTTTAGCGAGGAGTGTAGTTGGCGGAAGACGAAGGTTGAGGAGGCGGTGGAGAAGAGTCGGTTGAGGAGGGAGGCGGAGGCGAAGGAGAGGGGGAAGAGTGCTGTTTAGGGGGTGGGTGGAGAGAGATGTTGTTGCTGCTGGTGTGAGATATGGTCATTGTTCGTTTTCGTGCTGATGTACCACCTCAGTTTTGGAAGAAACTGAAAAGGTGCTTCGTAGACTACATTATCATTATCAACCCGGAATTCAGCAAAATCTCAACGCAACGTAGGCTATGAAGGTGTCTTCGCTTCTATCCTCTGTAGGCGGAATGTTCATTCTTTACGTCAAACAAGGTGCTGCAATCATCTTATCGTATGCCGCTGTTGATTACAATGCACAAACGCGCTACTTTACACATCTTCTATCTCTTTTTACACTTTCTTCTGTCATTACACAAGCTTCATCTCGATACTTTTATACTTGGAGAGCATAGCTACCCACTATTGTCAACTCGCAGAGGGTGTGGCAGAGGCAGAAGCCTCACCAGTTGAAGTTTCTATGAACGCTGACCCATCATGCAAATCGCCAAAGGACGTTTCGTGTCGACGTGAATTTTGCTGGTCTTCTAATCGAAAGAGTATGGCACCGCAAATGTGCCAACGGCATCTTGTCACGGAAGTGTCTCCCGCGTTTATTTATATGTGGCTGGACGAATACAATGGTGCATGTTGGCTGGCTTCATCACTAATAACATTATTCGAGCGCCGACATCTATGGCGGTAATGCAACTTTCAACGATAGAACGCTATCGTATGCCACAGGCACCCCGAAGGTTTATCGGTGTACAAGCGTGACTCCATCAAGAGCGTCTGAGTATCCTAGTGCCAAAGGTAGATTAGCGAGTGTACCCAAGACCACCAAGATCTACGTTAGATAGCGATTAACGGATAAGCTGAGCTGTTAGTAATCTTCCTGCCTCAACTCAACCCGAAAACACCATCATGTTGTTCGCATCCTAATCAAGCATCCCAGAACATCATCAACCAATACACCTAGCCACCCTCTCCCACTCCCCATCCCTTCTCAGACAACCCAAATCCTCCTCTCGCAAACACATGGCAACAGCCACACTCCCATCCCTACTCTTCGGCATCAAATACATCAGTCCCTCTACAGGCACAAAGCCCGGTCTGCGGACAGCAACCGCAGGACCCAGCCCAAGTCCAAAATCCCACTCATAAGCCGGTACTTTGGTCCACGAGCTAAGCGCAATATCAACGCTCATATCGAGGGTAGCTGTCGGACTCGTTTTCGCTGCATTGGCTGGTGATTGGGCGAGGAACGTGGCGAGAGAGCGTGTTCGCCGTGCGAGGTCTGAGGTTTTGGGGTCGATGGATTGGCGCATGGTGGCGGCGATGTGGCCGAGAGGAGTGGAGAGGAGGGTGGATAGTGTGTAGGTGGTGTATGTCATGTTTTGGAGTATGCCGGGGTAGTTGGGGTGGATGTTGAGGTAGCGTCTGGCATCCACAGCTCGTGCGAAGGTCGTTGATATGTTAGGGGGTAGGCGTGTTTGTCTTGCGCGTAGAACGGAGAGGAAGATGAAAGCGGAGAGGGCGTCGTCGGTTGATATGAAGCTGGTGGAGTCTTGGGGAAGTGTGGTTGTTGCGAGGTGCTTTAGTGACTTTAAGGACGATGCTGAGAAGTCGAAGTACATCCAGCTGCAGTTGACAGGTGCTCCAGTAACCGTTGACTCGGCGGTATCTAGCTCTTTGACAACCGTGGGAGCTGGAGGAAAAAGCTGGTTCTGCAGTTCCATTCCAGGGTCCCAGCCCTCATCCTCAATAAGCGGTACAACACCCGTTCTTACCATATTACCTACCTTGAGCTCCTCTTCAGTGAACTCCTCACCTCGACATGCCTTGGACAACCAGCCTATCACAGCCGCCTGTCCCATCATATCGCACACATTGTGTTGCAAATTAACACAAAGCACCATACCACCACGGATATAACTGATCTGCACAAGCATCACCGGAGCAGGTCGATCATCCTTCCCAGACGCTTCTCTCGGATCAAACCCCAAAGCAGCGAGCGTAGGACACGGTGCCCAAACCCGCTCACCCAACATCTTCATCGGGAAACCCGCATCTATGATCTGCGACGCGCTGGGTATCTCCGCATCGGAAGTATAATCTCGTACGATACATTGCGGCACCGGTTCGTACGGCCGGATCCTGTAAAGGGGCGCGGCCTTGGATTCGGAATCGGAGTCAGAATGAGAATTTGCGTGGACGTTGACGACCTGACCAGCAACCCACGGGAAAGTCTTTGCTAGCTCTGCCAATCCGGTGGTGATGATCGCAGTAATCCCATCCCGCGACGCTGGTACCAGCCCCTCCGACAGCGGAAAGAACAAGGCAAGTTGGGTATAAAGCTTGAACAGAGCGGGCTGGGCACCCATCAGGTCGATATCCATATCCAAATCCGGAAGCGTCATGTTCGGCAACTAGGATACGTGCGGTGATCCTTTGAACAACATGTCAGTTCCAACGATGGCGTGATGGGATTTGAATGGCAACTGTATAGTAGTGACATTCTGGGCTTACGCGTATGGTGGTGCTGGTGATGAGGTGCCGTTTTCTGGACCCCGCAGTGGTTGACTGACTGAACTGACAGGTACGAACGTGTCCCGCCTTCTGAAACTGCAAACGCGTCAAGGCCTGACGCAAAATTGACCGCAGTTCCTCCTGCTCGTCTCTTGCGTGAGGTCTGGACTCGCTGATGGTGTGCAAGATAGATGGGATTATCCTAAGCAGCGTTGGTAGCGGTTTACTTTGTACACAAGAACAAGTGCGCAAACGGCGTAAACTCATCATGACTCATTCTGATGCTGTGAGACGTTGCTCAAAGTATCGTGAGATGAATCAAGATCAGCTTTGAAGGGCCGCCGTAGCGATGGTATCTTGTGAACTCCATCATCCAACAAAGCACAACATCCACCTCTCGAACGTATATGCATCAAAGGGCCGCCTGGTTATCGTCGCAACAGCCAGCCAGTGCACATGGGTGAAGTCCCATCGCTAGCCTTGCCGTCTCGGGGGACTTGCAGGGCACTTTGATGACCCGCAGTATGCAATGCTGCCCAACTTGACAGGAGAATGCCAGAAACGCCCCTCTCCTTTTCCCACCAACACGTCGAGGGAAGAAGAGGTCAGAAAAACACTGCCAACAATAGACTGTGCCCGCATGCAGGTAAATTCACGGTGGCGAAAATTTCTCCTCGTTCGTTCGCAGTCAATATGCACGGCGCCTGGGTGTACCTGGAGCTACCAGCTGCACTCGCCGCCTGTACGTGCTGGGATATCGCCAACGTTGGCCCGCTGCCGCAACGCACGCACGCACGAAACAGCAGGGGAGGCAAGGGATTGTCTCTCTCCCCTCCCTCGTTACTGCACGAGCAAAAGTCTCCGTTTGCCGCTCTCGTCTCCAGCTGCATTGTGCTTTGATTCATTTGTCGATGGAGGAAGTAGAGCGATTGGCTGGTTTGCCAGTAATTCAAATACAAAATCCCCGCTTGTCGCTCGCGTGGGAAGGGCTGGCTCTCGGGGTTCCACATGTCCTCAGTGCCGGAGTCGGGTCGGTTGCTTTGTGGGGAAGACGTACCGGAACATCGGAGACACACTATCCGGGACGAAAAGATGAAGATCACACATGTGAAGAATCAAGGCAGGAGGAGCAGGAGGAGTAGTCATGTACCAAAAAACATAGACGTTTAATTCGAAAGGTATCTCGGGGGGCGTTATAGAAGAATGTGTGACCCAAACTGAACCCATGACTTTTCCGTCCTTATTCCAGGTTTTGAGATTTCCAAATATGCCATGCGCTGCTGACAATAAACACATGCTACCACAGTACCCGTCTTCCAGATTGTCGACATGTTGTTGCCTTCTTTTCGCAACCCGCCAGCCCTAGCCCACTTAATCAATTCAGCCGTACAGTGTCATGCAAGATCTCAGTTGCTGCGCAGATCTCGGTCGTTAAGGAAATAAGAATAGGCTAATGTTCGTAGTACTCCAGATACTCCATGGGTCTCATGCAAAACCAAAGTGAGACCATCGATGCAAACGCCGCTCATATGCCGACGCCTTGTTGAGTGCGTTCTATCAGTGATGTGGCACGACAGTGGGAGGTGTCGTAGCCCGTTATGGTGCAGTAAATCCAAATATGTATGTCGGAAGGCGTATCGGTCGCTGGACCGAGTGGATGTCGAGCCGGGAGCTCATAGAATGACGCACTTCGGTTTCTCTTTGCCGCGCTTGTTACCGCCCGTCATGCCGGCACCCCGTGTGCGACGGTCACCGGCTCCTCTTGTGCGGTCCTTCTCGTGCAGGCCGGTACGTACGCGGGCTTCTTTCCTGTCTGTGGGGTTGCGTCCGCTGCCTTGTCGTTGCCGTCGGAGCTGTCTAACGACGTCGAAGAAGGCCTTTTCTACGTTGACGCAGTTTTTGGCGGATGCCTCGACAAAGTCGCAGCCGAGTTCTTTTGCGAGAGCTTGACCCTCTTGGGTGGAGACTTCACGCTCCGTGACACGGTCGCATTTGTTTCCGACGAGCATCACAGGGGCCTGGCCGAACATGGGAGCTGATGCGCTGATGGGCGAGCCGGGGTAGGTCGGTGAGCCAGCCATGGCCGTCTCTTTGACGCGCTGTATTTGGCTGTGGAATCGCTGTATGCGGGCGAAGGAGGAGCGTGATGAGATGCTGTAGACGAGTACGAAGCCCTCGCCGTCGCGTATCCATTGGTCCCGCAGGGCGATGTATTCTTCTTGGCCAGCCGTGTCGAGGACTTCGAGCATGCAGGACTGGCCGTCAATTTGCACCTGCTTGCGGTACGAGTCTTCAATGGTGGGGTCGTACGTCTCAACGAAGTGGTTCAAGCACAACTAGCCGCGGTCAGCCAATGTCAAGGGAATGGGGGAAACAGGAGGGCAGGGCTACCTGTATGGTCAGGGCGGTCTTTCCCACACCACCGTCGCCCAGCACCACCAGCTTGTACAGCGTCATTTTCCCCGCCATGGTGTCGGTAGGAGAGCAGAGTCGGCCTCGTCAATTCAATGCAGGCAGCGAGTCAAGGGCGGATGGGGCACAGATAAAGGACGGGGCGTGGTGCAAGCAGCTCGCCACGTCGTCGCAGTGTCGTCTCGTGTACAGCAGCGGGATTGCAGCTGACCAGCGGGCTCAGCGGGTTCAGCCTAGGTTGGGAGCTGCGAGAGATCCAGAGGGACGGGACGAAGGGGGCGGCGCGGCCAGAATGAGCGTCTCGATGTCGTGGTCCCAAACGGCGGTCCACACTCGCACGGCAGCACAGGGGCGCGTGTCGACGGGGAGCTGCAGGCGCTTCAGAATGGATCGGCTTGGGTGAGCACAATGGTTGCACGCAGACGTCGAGGCGGAAGCGAGGCCTGTGCAGCTGGGCCGACGCAGAAGGGGCGGCAGAAGCGAGCGGGGAGCAGATGCGCGTTGGAGCAGGTCGAGTTGGGAGGTGGTCCGGTGGTGGTCGAGGGGATGGGAGAAAGTTGGGCGAGGCGTCTTGACGTGGTCAGGGTTCTCTGGGAGTGGCTCGTGTCCCCACGTGAAGATGTGGATTTGGAAGCGGGCGATGGACAAAGCGATCAGGGCTTCTAGGGTGCAAGCGTCCGAGTCCGGGGCATCACCTATCAGCAGCAGCGTCTACTATCGGGGCTCCGTTGCATGAGCGCGGGCGACGTGGGATGGGCAGGCAGCACGGAGGACGGGGGCAACGATAGCGGCGTGATGGATGAGGGAGGTCAAAAAGAAACGCGATTAGTCGACATGGGCCTCCGGGGTTTTTACGCTTCTGCGTCGAGTTGGCACCTTGGGCCTTGGGCGACGGCGCTGCAGCACTGGGGGCTGCCAAACGTCAATCCGCCTAGTCCTATCCAAGCCATCCAGACGAGAAACAGCCCAGGGCCTGCAGCCAGAAGCACTCAGGACCGCCTCGCCGACCCGGCCCCGTGGCTGGCTGCTGCGTGCCCATATAAGCCGACGACGCCGTGCCGCCCCAGGTCGTGGAAGCCTGGTCTCACTGTGTGCGCCCGTCACGTCCCAAGGTGGTGCCGTCACGACCAAACGGCCAGAAGAGCTGCCGTCGTCTCAGTGCGCAAGCGCAGGCGGCAGGCCCTAGGACATGCTAGGGCTGCAAACGGGGGCCCCCTTGGGGGTGCCATTGGGGAGAGAGGCACTACACATGCACCCTCGACTCTGTAGGAACAAGAAAGCCGCCGAGCGGCCTGCCCACCAGCACGCTGACTCCCGGCTCCAGCCACACCAAGGAGTCGAGGGCTCGCTCACCAAGGGCGGCCAACTCCATGACTCCAACGACTCCAACATGTGAATGCTGCTTCGACATTGCAGGACAGGTCGGCCACTTTTGCGCCAGGGTTTCAGTCGTCGTCCGGCGTGGGCTGCGAGGCATGGTGCTTCGGGGAACTGGACCCCAAGCCGCGACAGCGTGTAGCCGATAGTCGCTTGGCCCACTGTTGCGCTCCTGATATTCTGCCGAGCCGACGGGATCACTGCACCAACAGACGTCGTCGCCGGCACGCCTCTGGCCATGAATGCGGGCGGCGGCCTGCTATCTCATGTCAGACGCCTGGCTGCGACGACTTCTGCCGGTAAGAAAGCTTGTGCAAAGCTGTAGACGACGCGGCGCGAGGCATAGCCTGACCAGATGCCAGACTAGCCAGTGCCAGCGCGACTGTGACGAGGCTCGCTGACTCCCCGGGCAGATGCGCCAGATGAGCGACCCAGGGAATGCCTTGATGTGTGCGCTGATGAAGTGTCAAGCTCCCAGGTGGGCGGGAACATGGTAGCTCAGCACGAGCGTCATGTAGGTCAGCCCGGAGCCCAGTCCAGCGCCTGGGCCATGGCTCGCAGCAACGTGCAAGCACGTGTTTAGGTGGGGCCACCAACATGCGCTGTGACGGAGCCGGATCCCTTTTTACCCTGCTTGAGTTGGACCTCGAGTACCTGTTGGTGATGGTGACGCGGCGTTGAGCGCTGGGGCGTTGACAATGATTTCTAACGATTCTAACGATTCCTGGGGACGGCCCGCTGCGACTCCGTTGATTCATCCGGCGGCGAGGCTGCGAATACGAGCTGCCGTTGGATCGTACTACGAACGTCATTACAAACGCTCTATATAACGAACTGATAAGATAATGCAGCAAGGGTGGCATATACGCGACAAGCGAAGTGAGCGGCAATTGAGGAAGGCACTGAACATGGAAGGAAGGCACGGGGGGAATCTTGACCACCAAACATAGGCAGGCACGATGGGAGAATCTTGACCAAACAAAAGGCACGATGGAAGACCACATATACCGTTAAACCCCTACAATATTATCACCACCCATCCCATTACATCTACAACTTCGCCCGCGCCTCCGTAGCCTTGTGCAAATCCTTGCCCTTAACCATAAAGTACTCCCGCACCTTCTCCCGCGCAACATTGACAGCCTCGCGGTCCTCAATCGTGCTCGGAACGCTAACCTCCTTGTCAAACTCCCCATGCGTCGCGTTCTCCAGTAGCTCGCGCAGCACTCTCCTCAGCGTCTTGCCGCTCCTCGTCTTCGGGATCATGCCCTTGCCCTGGATGATGCCTCCGAGACTGGCAATGGCACCAATCTGTTCGCGTACTAGGCGTTGGACTTCGGCGAGGAGCTTGTCGTCTGCCACGGCGGAGTCGGAATGGTTGTTTGTGGATAGGGTTATGAAGGCGAAGGGGAGGTGGCCTTTTAATGCGTCGGGGATGCCGACTACGGCTGCTTCGGCGATGGAAGGATGGGTCGTGATGGCTTGCTCGATGGCGCCTGGATATTGTCAGCTCGAGCTCGCCATCAACTGTATGAGTAGAGCACTTACCTGTACTGAAGCGGTGTGCCGCAACGTTAATCACATCATCTGCCCGTGCCATGATAGAGATGTAGCCCTCCTCGTCAATCATGCCAGCATCGCCAGTGTCAATCCACTTCCCATCAAATCTCTTCATGTAGCCTTTGTAGAAGCGCTCTTCGTCCTCCCACAACGTAGTGAAGGCAGTTGGAGCAAGCGGTATCGCCATGACAATGTTGCCCATCTCGCCTCTCTTCACCTCTTTACCCGAGTCGTCCACAACGCGAACATCGAACCCAGGCATCGCCTTTCCAGCCGAGCCAGGCTTGACAGGAAGCGGCGCGGGTCGTTCTTGAGAAGAGAAGTCCAGTCCGGCAGAGGCGCTGAGTGCGATTCCAGAGATGGGTGAGCCTGATTCGGAAGACCACCAGTTGTCTACAACCATTGCACCAGGAGCGCAGTGCTTCACGAGCAGTTTTTGGTACATCTGAACGATGCTTGGTTCGCTCCTTTCTCCTGCCAGGAACAGTGCCCTCAGTGTCTTCAATGCACCCTTTCGTCCTCTCGCCTCGAAGAATTCGTTATCGCCGTCATCCCTGCGAATTGCTCGTAAAGCTGTGGGAGCGGTGAACATGGTCGTCACCTTGTACTCTTCAATGACGCGCCAGAAAGTGCTCGCATCGGGGGTTCCAACGGGTTTGCCCTCGAACAGAACCGTAGTGGCGCCAGCCAGCAGCGGAGCGTAGACGATGTAAGAATGTCCAACGACCCAGCCGATGTCACTCGCTGTGAACATGACGTCGCCTGGGCCATGGACTCCGAACAGGTACTTGATGCTGAAATTCAGCCCAACAGCATGACCGCCTGCAGAGCGGACAACGCCCTTTGGAAGCCCAGTGGTACCCGACGTGTAGATGATGTACAGTCCATCACCGCTCTTAACGGGCACAGCATCGGCCTTCAACCCCCTGTTCTTCGCGCTTTTGACAAGTCGTTGCCAGTTCCTTTGACCCTCCTCTTTGACTATCGGATCCCATCGAAGCTGATCTCTCTGCCAGACAATGGTCTTGGATGGCTTGAAGCTGCTCTTGTGAACTGCCCCTTCAATCATCGACTTGTACTCAGTTGGTTTCTTCGCTCCTTCAATTCCACAAGACGCCGTCATGATCGCGACAGGGCGACTTGCTTCGATCCGCTGTGCCAGTGCTGCGGGTGAGAAACCACCGAAAACGACCGCGTGTATAGCTCCCAGTCGGGCAATAGCCAGCATAGCAAAGAGCGCAGCCGGTATCATCGGCATGTAGATCAACACAACATCGCCCTTCTTGACTCCCTCTTCTCTCAACACACCCGCCAGTGTCTCGACTTCTTGTAGCAACTGCTGGTATGTGTACTGCTCTTTCTGACCGGTTACGGGACTGTCCCAGCAGATAGCTACTTTATCGCCATTGCCGGTTTCCACATGGCGGTCCACACAATTGTACGTCGTCGAGATCTCGCCATCGGCAAACCACTCCCAGTGCTCATGTGAGACATTGCTCTTCTTCAAGTGTTTGACGCTCCGCTGGAACGCCTTGGAAGGCTTCTTGTGCCAGTACAAGTTATTCGCCTGACGCTGCCAGAACTCCTCGGGGTTGTCGATGGAGGCCGCGTAGACCTTGTCTTGGATATGTCCCTGAGGCATATTGTCCGTCCGTTTCTCAGAATGGATGGATTGATTTCGCGAAGCAGAGAACGCAAGTAGTCTGCTAGATCTAACAACGAAGCTAGCGCGGGCAATGGGGCTATGAGCCGAGCAAGAAGTAAGCGGTATGCCGGACCTGAGGATAGTGAATGCGGTCAAGCACGAGTAGCTCTTCCGGGAAAGCATATGGGCGTCATGAGCACTGATGTTTTAGAACGTTGCCGATCGGTCCAAGGGGACCGACGACGCTGACCTCGGAAGGAGCTGGCTCGGCCTACCCCAAGTTCCCCCGCAAAGCGCTAGTGTGGGGTGCTAACACGGTTGGGGATGACGTCTGCTTGGCAGGCTTCTAGAGGAGCTTTGTGCATGTTGTCAGCTCGATCTAGAACTACTTTGTGTTGAATTGTGTTCTTTTGTGTAAAGCGCTTAAGATGCAGGAGATGGTAGTCTTCCAGGCGGACGGTGTTGGGACGGAAGT